GACGGCCCGAGACGGCCCAAGTGCCCCCAAAGATCGCCCAAGAGGCCCAAGACACGGCCCCAACAGGCCCCCAAGACGGCCCAAGACGTCTCCAAGACGCTCAAGATGGCCTCCAAGACGGCCCAAGAGCCCTCCAAGACGTCCTCCAAGAAGGCCCGAAAGGGTCAAAATGGCCTCCAGACGGCCAAGATGACCTTCAAGATGCCCACGTGTTCCCCGAAGGCTTTCCAAACCGATTCGGGGAACACATGGTCCGATAGCTTGGCAGGTCTGGCCTCAACGTTCGGCCACATAGGCGCTTCCAAAAAGGCAGGGGGCGGCGGTGATTCGCCGTAGGCGTCTTGGATATCCGCCGCCCCCTGTCGATGCATCGCAGGGGTGCCTGGCGTGCTAGATGATTTCGGTTTGGGTTTTGGTTCTTTTCCAAAGGAACTTCCCTCTGGGGCTCTGGCGCGTCCGGCCGGGGTCCAGGGATCTCAAAACGCATCCGTCGATGCCTTTGTTGCCCCAAGTTGGCCCAAGATGGCCTCCAAGACGGCCAAGATGGCCCAGGATGGCCTCCAAGCTCGCCTAAGATGGTCCACGATGGCCTCCAAGTCGGCCCAAGAGAGTCCAAGATGCCTTCTAAACAGTCCAAGAAGCCTCAACACGGGCCAAGATAGCTCCAAGATGGCCTCAAGATGGCCCAAGAGGGTGCCAAGAGGTCCCCCCAGAAGAGCCCGAAGAGGTCAGATGTTCTATTGATTTTCACACAAGTTTGACATATCTTTCTTTTTAGCCTTCCCGCTGTCCAAGATGGCCCAAGAGGCCCCCGGGATCGCCCGCAGAGCACCCACGGGGTCTCCAAGATGGCCCCATGACGCCCAAGACAGCCCCAAGAGGGCCACAAGACGGGCCAAGATGCCTCCAAGACGCCCAAGATGGCCTCCAAGACGGCCCCGAAGCGCCCCAAGAGGGCCCCAAGCCGGTTCAGAGAGGCCCCCGAGACGGCTCCCGACGGCGTCAGACGGGCCAGGAACCCACCAAGATGGCCGAAGTTGGCTCGAAGCTGGCCCAACACGGTCCAAGAGGCCTCCAAGAGGTCCTCCAGGAGGGCCCGAAGAGGCTGAAATTATTGATTGTCCTTTGGCTTTTCAAAGGTTTTTCGCATTTGCTCCTGCTCGGCTGTCCGAAGACCCCAGACGGCCCAAGAGGCCCCCAAGATCGCCCCCAGAGCACCCACGAGGCCTCCAAGATGGCCCCATGACGGCCCCAGAGGCCCCCAAGACAGCCCCAAGAGGGCCACAAGGCGGGCCAATGCCTCCAAAACGCCCAAGATGGTCTCCAAGACGGCCCCGAAGCGCCCCAAGAGGGCCCCAAGCCGGTTCAGAGAGGCCCCCAAGACGGCTCCCGACGGCGTCAGACGGGCTGGAACCCACCAAGATGGCCGAAGTTGGCTCGAAGCTGGCCCAAGACGGCCCAAGTGGCCTCCAAGAGGGCCTCAGAAGGCCAGAAAACCTGAAAAAAAACACTGATTGCTTCTTCTCGGCCTGCCGACGGCCCGAGACGGCCCAAGAGCTTCCAAAGATCACCCACAGATCGCCCAAGAGGCCTCCAAGATGGCCCAGAACGGCCCAAGAGACCCCCAAGACGGCCCCAAGAGGCCCCCAAGACGGCCCAGGAGGCTTTAAAGACGCCCAAGATAGCCTCCAAGACGGCCCTCGAGCATTCCAAGAGGGCCCCAAGTCGGCCCAGAGGGGCCCCCACAAACGGCCTCCGACGGCGTCAGACGGGCCAGGAGCCTACCAAGACGGCCGAAGATGGCCCTAAGATGGCCCAAGAGGCCCCCAAGAGGGCCTTCAGGAAGGCCCGGAAAGGCCAAAATCATTGATTTCCTATGAATTTTGAAGGATTGTGGCATTTGCTTTTTTTTCTGCCTTCCGACGGCCCGAGACGGCCCAAATGCCCCCAACGATCGCCCAGGAGGCCCAAGACGGCCCCAAGAGGCCCCCAAGACGGCCCAAGAGGCCTCAAAGACGCTCAAGATGGCCTCCAAGACGGCCCAAGAGCCCTCCAAGACGTCCTCCAAGAAGGCCCGAAAGCATCAAAATGGCCTCCAGACAGCCAAGATGACCTTCAAGATGCCCACGTGTTCCCCGAAGGCTTTCCAAACCGATTCGGGGAACACATGGTCCGATAGCTTGGCAGGTCTGGCCTCAACGTTCGGCCACATAGGCGCTTCCAAAAAGGCTGGGGGCGGCGGTGATTCGCCGTAGGCGTCTTCGATATCCGCCGCCCCCTGTCGACTCATCGCAGGGGTGCCTGGGGTGCTGAATCCTCTCGGTTTTGGTTTTGGTTCTTTTTTCAAAAGAACTCCCCCAGGGGCTTCGGCCCGTCCCGCCGGCCACCTGCCCACAGCCCAAATCCCAAATGTTACCGCCAAGACGGCTGAAGATGGCCTCCAAGATGGCCCCCAAGATGGTCCAAGATGGCCTCCAGGTCCGCCCAAGAGAGGAGGAGATGCCTCCAAGTCCGCCCAAGAAACCTCCAAGACGGCCCAAGACGGCCCACGAGGTGCCCAAGAGGCCTCCAAGACGGCCCAAGAGGCCTCCAAGAGGTCCTCCAGGAGGGCCCGAAGAGGCCGAAATCATTGATTGTCCTTAGGCTTTAAAAAGGTTGTTCGCATTTGCTCCTTTTCGGCTTTCCGACAACCCAGGACGGCCCATGAGGCCCCAAAGATCGCCCCAACATCGCCCAAGAGGCCTCCAAGATGGCCTCAGGACTGCCCAAGAGGCCCCCAAGACGGCCCCCAGAGAGGGCAAAGACGACCCGAGAGGCCTCCAAGACGCCCAAGATGGCCTCTAAGACGGCCCTGGAGCACCCCAAGAGGGCCCCAAGTCGGCCCAGAGAGGCCCCCCAAACGGCTTCCGACGGCGTCAGACGGGCCAGGAGCCCACCAAGATGGCCGAAGTTGGCTCTAAGCTGGCCCAAGACGGCCCAAGAGGCCTTCAAGAGGGCCTCCAGGAAGGCCAGAAAAGGCCAACAACACTGATGTTCCTTAGGCTTTCGAAGGGTGTTGACGTTTGCTTCGTTTCGGCCTGCCGACGGCCCGATACGGCCCAAGAGCCCCCAATGATCGCACAACGATCGTCCAAGAGGCCTCCAAGATGGCCCCAGGACGGCCCCAGAGGTCCCCAAGACGGCCCCAAGAGGCACCCAAGACGGGCCAGGAGGCGTTTGAGACGCCCAAGATGGCCTCCAAGACGGCCCTGGAGCATTCCAAGAGGGCCCTAAGTCGGCCCAGAGAGGCCCCCCAAACGGCTTCCGACGGCGTCGGACGGGCCAGGAGCCCACCAAAACGGCCGAAGATGGCCCTAAGATGGCCCAAGACGGCCCAAGAGGTTTCCAAGAGGGCCTCCAGGAAGGCCCGACAAGGCCAAAATCATTGATGCCCCATGAGTTTGTGTAAAGGAATGTGGCAGTTGCGTGTTGTCTGCCTTCCGACGGCCCGAGACGGCCCAAGTGCCCCCAACGATCGCCCAGGAGGCCCAAGACGGCCCCAAGAGGCCCCCAAGACGGCCCAAGAGGCCTCCAAGACGCTCAAGATGGCCTCCAAGACGGCCCAAGAGCCCTCCAGGACGTCGTCCAAGAAGGCCCGAAAGGGTCAAAATGGCCTCCAGACAGCCAAGATGACCTTCAAGATGCCCACGTGTTCCCCGAAGGCTTTCCAAACCGATTCGGGGAACACATGGTCCGATAGCTTGGCAGGTCTGGCCTCAACGTTCGGCCACATAGGCGCTTCCAAAAAGGCTGGGGGCGGCGGTGATTCGCCGTAGGCGTCTTCGATTAGCAAGGCAAGCAGCGGGAAGGGAGCTGGTGGGACGCAATTGATATCCAAAGGAGGGGACAGCTTGGCGCGTGTCCACTGAGCACGGGTTCTTTTGCTTACACGTCACGCCAAAGAGAGATACCAACCCCGATGCTGCTTGAAATGTATGAGGCGGCCATCAAACATGCGCAAGATCCCGACAACCACTGGAGATTCACCTGAGCATGGCAGAAGTTCCCGAATGCGGTTTTTGAGGAGGGGTAACATATGTATGGCCTCAGCTGTTCTCCTACCTCCCCTCGTTGGCCTTGACCAGACAGAGGGTTCGAGACACCCTGACGATCACATGAGGACTGACTTGTAGATGGCATGCGCCCTGACGATCCTAAATGAGTACCCGCGCTCGGGTCCCAGAGCCTCAACGCGCTCAACGAAATTGCTGATCGACTCGTCAATGCGAGCTACAAGTCATACCGTGGAAAAAAAACGAAGCCGACATCGGCAAGACAAATACCCGAGAGCAATATTGAGCTTGTCGTTGTAATGCTCTGGCAGAGTTCGAAGGCTGTACCCACAAAGCCTGCGCCTGGGGGTCACCTGCCCCCGTCGCAAAATCCAGCGTGGAACGTTCCCTGACCATTTCGTGGTGCCCGCCCGAAGATGGTGCGTCCAAGGCAATGGTGCGCCCCAGAACTGTTCCAGACGCATTCCGTGCGCGCCCGCTTGAGGTTCGTGCGTCCCAGGTCCAGAGCACGATGCATCCTAGGACAGTCCCGGCTGCATTCCGTGCGTGCCAGCTCTAGGATGGGGCGTCCCAAGTCCAAACAGTGGTGCACCGCAGGACAGTTCCAAGCAGATTTCTGTGCGCCCGCTCGATGGTGATGTGTCACAAGCTCACGAGTAGTGGCAGGACCATGAGATCGTCAGCATTCCAAATATCCCAGGTCCAGAAAATGTGGCAGTGGCCCTCGATTCTTGCTATTCCGAGCCTCCCAGGCCCAGAGAGCGTTGTGGGGGCACATGCTTGTCATCACTCTACATCTCCAAGGTAACTAGAAAACACATAGCTGGGCCATCGGGTTCCCACCGTTCGAAGCCTCCCAAATAGAAAGAGCGTGGCAGGGGCGTGCAAACCGCAACTGAAGCACCTTCACTGCAGCGGGGGCCGCGCGCGTGATGCTGAGGCATCGACTCTGCGCGGGCCCGAAGTCGGCGTATCGCCCCCGCAATCGCCAGACCGCTCAGAGAGGCGGAGCAGGCCGTGCCGCAGGCCCTCGGTCTCGCCGAACCGCTCGAAGAGGCGGCGGCGCAGGTCCTCCGCGGAGGGTGACACCGGCCCGCCGAGGCCCAATGAGGACTCGTTCAACAGAAGATGTCGGGCTTAATCCAAAGGTAGACGGTGACAGCCAGGCGTCTGAGTCTGTGGCGGTTCGCAGACTTCTGGCGATGCCAAACCATCTTGGAAGTATATGGAAAGTCTGCGCTCAAGACAGGCGAGTTGACAAGGGGGCCCAGAAAGCCGCAGTCTTGAAATCCCCATGCGTGAAATCTGCGTAGCCAAGCTATCCAATGTAAAAATGAGCTTGGTTTGGTCCCAGCGGGCACCCCAGATCGATCACGACCTTCCGAATTGGATGAAGGGAAAATCGACTGCACGTGTGATGGCAATGGGGAACTGCTTTTCGGCGCCGGAGACTGCCAACATTGCGCCGGCCAACGTCATTCGATCGACGGCGCGTTCTCACGATGGAATGCCCAACAGCTGGTCGGTCAAGACGGAAGAATAATGTATACGAACTTAATAAGAGACAGGCGTAAGCCGTTGTGGTTTGGGTGACTCACTAACGGATGCGAAATGAAATCCGTCGGGGTCGTCAGTGGTGAGTCAGTGGGCCCCTTCGGTAAGGCACCCCCAGCGCAAGGATCTCCCCTTTGCTTGGGCCGCTCAAGGGCGGCGCGAGGATTCCGATGACAGGCAAGGGAGAAGGAGGAGGAGGAGGAGGAGGAGGAGGAGGAGAAGGATGACGATGTGTCCTTTCCCCCAGCAAGGCGTGTGCTGATAAACCCTTGCTCCTTTTTTATGGTCCCCCTGAGGTTCGGGAATGAGGCGGTGGTTTCAAAAGAGCCCGCCCACGGGACCCTGTCCTTAAGGTCCCCTGGTCAGTCGGCGGGGTTGTGGCGGTGATTGCACAAGGTCCCGCCGGTCCGGTCACACCTAAGGGGCGCCGCGGGGGCGGGCGCGCGGCGGTGGTTGCACAAAGTCTCGCCCACGGGGCCACGCCCAGAGGGTCCCGACATGGGCCTGGCGACGGGTGCACAGGGACGCGCCCCGCGCATGGAATGGTCCGAAACGGGGGGCGAGGCAAGGGTTGCACAGGGGTCCGCTACAACAACGGTCTGGGAGAGGCGGTGTGGCGGTGACTGCATGAGCGGCGCCAGCGGCGGCGGCTGAGTAGGAGGATGGGCAGGAGGAAAAGAAGCGGGAGGAGGATCAGCAGCAAAGGGAAGACCAGGAAGAGCAGGATGACCAGGGGGAGGTGGAGGGGGGAACGGAGGGGGCGGCAACGACGAGAAAGGAATCGGTGCCAGAAATGTGGCCCGCGCAAGGGACAACGCCGCTTTGGAGGACCTCAGTCGGTAATGAAAGAGAATCCTGCGCGTGTCTGATAATCCACCACCGTGCCGCAGGCATGGAGCGGAATGTCCACAAGATCCTCTGCAGCCGAAACTCACAGGGCCAGTCGCGTGACTTTTGGGCCGACCGTGTGACTTTTCACGAGGCCTCGGGAGCGTGGCTTGGACTCCACACCTCAGACATGGACCAAGATGGTCTGTGGTCCCGTCCTGGCGCTTCCTTGGGTGAATCTTGGACTGTCCTGGAGGCCCTGGGGGCAGGCCGATGAAGCCCACATTAATGAAAACCCGAATTTCTTCGACAACATGAACTTATCGGCTTTTCGATCTGAAGGGAGCCAGGGACGGCCCAAGAGACCCTAAAGATCTCCCTATGACGGCCCCAGAGGCCCCAAAGAGATCCCAACCCCAAAGAGAGCCCAAGAGGCCCCAAGATAACCCAATGAGAGGCCCAAGAGGGGAAACTCGAAATGAGATTTCAAGCCTCTGGCCCCCAAATGTCCCCCGAGATGGCCAGGAAGCTCCCCAAGCGACCCCAAGTGGCCCCAAGAGGCACCAAAGAAGCCCTCAGGCCCCTAAGAGGCCCCCAAGAGGCCCCCAGGAGACCCCCAAGAGGCCTTAAGCAGGCCCCAAACAGGCTTTCAACAGGCGTTCCAAGATGAATTCAAAGAGACCCCAAGAGAGTGGTAACATGCCTCTGGTTCACAGCCCAGGCACAGTGGCGGATTTGGCCGAAGGCTACTAGAGCCGCCCCCTGTTGGCTTGCCACAGGGGTGCACGGCGTGCTAAACTTATGTCTGGTTGTTGCTATTATATCAAAATAAGCATAATTACAAGTGTGATCTCGGCTGACCGCGCCGGCCGCCCTCAAGGGGACAAACAAGACAACTCGCCTCCAAGACGGCCAAGACGGCCTCCAAGATGCTTCCAAAACGGTTAAGACGGCTTCAAGAGAGCCTAAGATGGCCCCCAAGATGTCTCACAGACGGGCCGAGATGATCCCAAGACGGCCCGAGACGGCCCGCAGATGGCCCAGGACGGCCCAAGAGGCCTCCAAGAGGGTTCGAAGACTGCCCAAGAAGCCTCCACGAGGATATCAAGGAAGGCCCGAAGACAGATTTTCAGTAGGTGTTGAAGGGTTTGGGCATTTCCTCCTTTTCGGCTTTCCGACGGCCCGAGACGGCCAAAGAGGCCATCAGGATGGCCCCAAAAGCGCCCAAGAGGCCTCCAAGATGGCCCCCAGACGGCCCAAGAGGCCACCGAGACGGCCCCAAGAGGGCCCTAATGCGGCCCAGGAGACCTCCAAGACGCCCAAGATGGCGCCCAAGACGGCCCTGAAGCGCCCCAAGAGGGCCTCCGAGTCGGCTCAGAGAGGCCCAGAAATTGCACAACGCCCGCCCCCAAGAGACCCAAGGCGGCCTCCAAGAGGCCCATGAGAGGCGTTCAGGCGGCCCCAAGAGTGCCCAAAAAGCTTCCAGAATGCCTCCTCCTCCTCCTCTTCCTCTTCCTCCTCCTCCTCCTCCTCCTCCTCCTCCTCCTCCTCCTCCTCCTCCTCCTCGTCCTCCTCCTCCTCCTCCTCCTGTCCCTCCTCCTCCCCCAAGACTTCCCCGCAAGGTCCCCGCAACGCCTGGAGAAACAAGCAGTCCGACAGCGTGGCTTGACTTCGGCCAGACGTTTGGGCACGCAGGCGTTTCTAAAAGGCAGGGGGCGGCGGTGACTCGCCGCAGGCTCCTTCGATACAATACGCGAGGGGCGGCCTGGTCACTGGACGGCATCAGCGGAGAAAGGCGAGCAGTACTCATGCCGAGCAATTGTAGAAGGAGGGGGGGGGCAGCGAGGAATGGGCGCCAAGCCCAGCGGGCCACGCCCGCCTCGGCCGCCGCCGGCCCCGACCCGCCGCGGCGAGGTCCTCGAGCGCGGGCTGACCCTTGAGCAGCTCGGCCCGGCACGCGGCGATTTCGGCCCTCATGCCCACCCGCTCCCTCTGCAGGGCGTCGATCTGCGCCCGCAGCGCGCCAGCCTCCGGGCGTGGCGACTCTTGTGCGGGGGCGCCCGCACAAGCCCCAGTCCAGTGCTGCCAGCCATGGGTGAGGTGTTGTTGGCCGCAGCGCTCGGCCCGACAGCTCCGTGTATGCATAGGCATGCCCCGCCTGCGTCTCGGCCACAGCCCGCTCAGAACCTGTCACAGGTCTCGCCCTGGAACGAGCCTGGCCCACTTTCCGAGCTGCGCCCAGCTTCGACGACGAGCCCAATCCGAGGCCCATGACAAAAACGACCTGAGACACGACATGTCTTCCCTTCTGCGTCTTCTGTTTATTCTAAGTATTAGTGGTAGTACCATGTTTCTGATTCATATTACTATCATAAGTAGTCATAGTATGCGTATTATAGTTACTAGTAGTAGTACTACTGTTATTTATACTACTATTATTATTGCTATTATTCCTCCTCCTGCTCCTGCGGGTGTGCTGGTGGTGGTAGCGCTGGTTGCGGGTTGTGGTGCTGCCACAGCTTTGCTGACACTGCTGCAACTGCTGCTTTCGCTGCCGCCGACGCTGCTGAGTAATCTGGGCGATATCGGAGCCAATGGCTGCTTTCTAGTTTGCTTATGTCGGGGGCGTTTGGGGTGGTCTCCGAGGCCTCCTGGGGCGATCCTAGGCCGTCTGGGGGTCTTCTTTGGGTATTTTTTGGTGCTGAGAGATCATATTGGGAACCTCGTGGGGCGCTCTCGGGGTTCTCATCTTCAGGGGCTCGCTTGGACAATCGTTGAAGGCTGGTTTCTGCAATCGTCGAACCTTCTCGGCGAGACTTCTCGGAGGTCAGCTCGGGGGCCGCTCTGAACCCGTCTTGGGGTGCTCGACAGCCACAGACCGTGCATTTCTGACATCCAAACGATCATCGCTTCCACTCGTCCCGTCGTCCAACCTCGTACAACCTGATCTTCCGCTCGAGCATCGAAACCCCCTGATTCATGTATTCAAGCCGTGGTGGCTTCGCGCGTCCCGTCGTCCTTCCGCCCCCTGGCTCCAAAGGGGTACGTGCCAAAGGTTTGCAGCTTGGTTGCAGGCTGAGCGAAGCTGTTTAGCGGGGGGCGCTCCAGACGCCGCAACTTTGCGGCACGCAGTCCCCAGGCGCCCCACAACTACCTCGAGGAGCTCCTTCAGAGCCAGCATGGGGGGCCCACTTCTCTTATTTCCTCTCATTCCTCGTCCATCTATCCTCCGTCCCACCCTCCCCCTGGAGTTGCGAAAGGATGAAGAGTATTACGATGTCCGCGGGTGTAGCCTGAGGACGCGCGCGGGTCTCCAACGCCCCAGCCCATAGCGGAGCGCGGTTTGGCGAATTGGGAAGCACCTCTTCACGCCATGAAAAAGAGGAGATGGCGGATGGTCGCGATGTTGAGATGCTGAGTGTGGAACACATAGCGATGCTCCCCCCTCTCGATCGCATTCGCTGGCCGCCGCCCCTCCTCACGCCGTGCCCCTCCGGCATTCCTGGCGAATCGGGGCTACTACGGGGTGGCATCCCGAAAGGGGAGGCGAATAAGCCTTGGCTGTGGAGCGCAATCGATGGAGTTAGATCCACCCAGGGAGGCGGGCTAGAAGGGCGTGTACTGCCCTCCGGTTTCCCTCAGGTGGGCAACGGGTCCCACTTGGCTGAAGAGAACAGGTGGTCGCACAGTGCGCACGGGCGGGGAGCATGCTCAGGCTGGGTTCGTGCCCGACCCCTTGCCGCTGAATTACGGGACCACTTCGCACCTAGACCAGTCACGGCTGCGCCGCCGCACTGTCTCCATGACATTTGCAGTGTGCGCTGTGCTCGCGTCCATCATCGCTGGGTCGGTGCAAATCAGGACCTTCCTAGAGGCTCTGGCACTTTTGACTGCCTCTGTGACCTGTCGCCGTTTACCCGCTTGCCAGCGGGCGGACGGGAGGAGATCACAAGAGCCGATCAGCAACGCACTCGCGAGCGCACCATCGAGTGGCCGGGGCAAGGAGGAACCCCGTCCCCCCACAGATCCTGTTATTCTTTTGCGGGAGGGTGACATCAGGGCGCCTTGTGGCACCATCCCCCCGATTGCTCTGAGCCGTCTGGCGGGGCTAAAGTGTTGCAGGCCCTCGGACTTTGACCAGCGGCGCTGTGCTCGCACTGGCGGCGCACGGGCTTGGCCTGCCCTGTGCGCTCTCCCCCCGCTCTAGGGCCCTACCCCTCACCACCTTGCCTTTTCCTGCTCTGCCATGCCCTGCGGATCTCGAGTGCCGCGGAGGCCAGGAGCGTTGGCTTTCGCGGCGCGGGGTGCAGGCACGCAGCGCTGGTATGTTAGGCGCGTTTGCCGAAGCTGCCAATCCAACGCTCGGCGGCTCTCTTAGTTCGGTCGCCAGCAGGAGGAGCAGGAGGAGCAGACGGAGAGCATCGAAGCCAGGCGCTCTAAGCAAGGGACTCTGGGAGACAAGTCACCTCGGTGTCCTGGATGTGCCACGTCACCATCTCCGTGGCATTTGCATTCGACATTTTGGCAAGAGGCCAGATTCTGCCTTCAAATCGCTGTGCAGTGGACCGTAATAGCCCATGGTCCTAGAGGACTGCAGGGGAGCTGAAGCCCAGACCAAGTCTGGCCTTCGAGCTGATCCAGTCGAACCACCGGATTAAAATCTACATCGAATTTGCTTTGCAGTGTCCGTAGCCCCTGACCCTTGGAGGAGGGAAGGTTGAGGAAGCAGTAGGTTCAGCGATCTGGTCGAATCGTTGAACTGCGGGAGTTTGCGAAGGAAGAGTAACGATCCAGTCAAAGCGCTCCGTGAGAAATAATATGGCCCCTGCGAACACATGGCGGGATAGCCAAAAAGAGGAAGGTAGGAAACACGCATTTAATCCGTTAATGGGCGCGACTCCGTTCAACATAGGGGGGGAATGGTGGAGGCGGGCCCGCTCAACGGAAGGGGGGCGACCCTGTTCAACACGCTGGGGGGGGAATGGGGGGGCGACCCCGCGCAAGGGGCTCGGGGCAGGAGCTTGAAGGCGTCGCGCCCGGCCTGCTGCCACTGCTGCTGCTGCCGCCGCTGACGCTCTGGCCGCGCGAGTGGCCTGGCCCAGCACGACGGCCTCCTCCCACGAAAGCCTGAAAAACTGCACGCCTCTCTCGGAATCCAAGGCCCTGAGGCCCGAGCTTCCCCGCGCCTGGGCCTGGCCAGGGGCGTCCAGGGAGGGGGCCCAGACCAGCGTCCAGTCTTGGCGTGGTTTATGGATGTCCCCTCTGGCGGGGATCCTGCGCGAGCAACGCGCGTAGCCCCCCGCGCGAGGTGCAAATGAGGAGGGGATCTGACGGGCTTCGACCTCCTCCACCCTTGCAGACCTCAGCCCACCGAAGCGGGTGATCACGAAAAATCAAGCCTCCCTGGGCTCCTCCCCCCGAAGGGAACGGACCTCGGGATGCCCACTCTGGGGACTCACAAGGCCCTAGAGGTCCACGAGGAAGGGCAATAGATGGGATCAGGAGCTGACGGCGGTGAGCCATTCAATCCCATCGTGGTCGGGACACTGCCCTCCACTCATCACCACCTGCTGGTCGGTCGCAAATTGGGCAGCCTCCCTCGCCGGCGAAACACGCCCCCAAACGACCAACCGCTGGGCACGGGGGCGGAACGGCCCAGCACCTAACGTAGCTAATGGATCAGCATGCCCATTTCCACAGATCTGTTGGTGGGAGATATCTTGAACAGCTCTCTGGATCTGGTGCGAATCGACCTTCACAAGACTTTCTCCAAGGCCTCCTCCACCTCGGGCTACCAGTGACACCTGGCCTGATTATCATTGGTTGCTCCTGCGGGGTGGGAGGCGACCGACACCGTCGCCATGCAGTCTATGCGCACCTCACCCGCCATCCTCGATAATGGCGTGTGTTCCTGGCTGCCGAGCCGCAAAATGTCCCCCGACCCTGGCAGATTGATCCGGGGTTTCTGGTAGAGGGGGCACCCCGTGAAGCCCACGCAGGAGGCCCCCATTGTTGCTGACAGCCGCGATCGCCCACCCAGCCGTTCTTGAAAACCGCCATGCCCTTCTTGATCACGAGCATGCCGTCTCTGGCCCACTCGGAGAACTGGGGGCACGTATCCTTGGGGCTCCTGGGGGGCCCTCCGAACCGCCCACGCAAGTCTGGGACGAAGGCCCCGGCGAACAGCTCCCCATCCGCTTCAGGTCGTCCTGGCATTTCCCTCGCAGCCCTGCTCAAGTTGCCTCCGAGATGGCCCTGCCCCCAGCTTGAGGAGGCAAGGCAGCGACATCTTCGAAGGCACAGCGCGCCTCCAGCGCCTCCGGACAGCCTGCACTTCGAGCCGACGCCATTCGCGTGCATGGCCGACCTAGACTGAGCCCCATAGATTTTGAAGATGATACATTCCCACGTTCGGCGATGGTGGGCGCGCTATGTGACCGAGGTTAGTTGGGCATAAGGGGCCCTGACGGCTGCCAGATGGCGCTGCCATTCGAAACCTCGAAATCGCCCCAGTGATCCTGCCCCTCCCGAACCACCGCTCCGCGGACCCCTTCCCTGATAGGGGTGCCGAAGAACTGCGGGGGGAAAGGGGGCCGCCCCTCCCTTCCCCAGGCCATCTACGAACTGCTTCCCTTGGAAATCGAGGCGCCATCCCATCCTCTGGAGGGTGGCCACGCGAGCCACCGCGGGCTGCTCGGCCACGTCCCAGGGGCTCTCGGCGCCCAGTGCAGCGAGGCCATCCAGGACACATTCACCAAGCACCTCCCAGCAAACCTGCTTGTTCCAATCACGCTCACGAAATATGAAATCGCCTGGGCCTTCGCGATCTCCCAGGGGCCCTCCCCGGCAAGAAACGGACCCAGGGGGAAGCGGGAACCCGGCGCGCATCCAGCGTGCACAGGGCCTGCCCCAAGCGCCTTCATCTTCCTGGGGGCGCGTCGCCGACGCAGCTCGCCGTCGCCGCTCGGATTGCCGCGGGAAGCGGCCCGTTCCGAGGGACTCTGGAAACGGACCCCGTTCCAAGACGC